TCCCCACGAATTATGGTGAAAACAAGCCAACTGGCCCAGCCCACAGCCTACCACCACCTGGTATCACATCAGAGAAAGTCTAGCATAAATAACAGGCCATTTTCTACCGATATGAAACAGTGAAATGGCATAGGTTTAACACTCCCTCACTAGTAACTTATTTAAGAGGCGGCCCATCTACTGAATAAGAAAGAGCAGTGCTCTCCAGTATAATGGGAGTGGGTTCTCCGACCAAATGTTGCACCCTCAGTTGAAGATACATTATATGACACACAACAAGGACACACAAGAACAGAGACGTGTGTGAACGATAGTGGTAGGCGTCTAACAAGCAGAAATGCTGCCAGTCCTCTGGAATTATTATGATGATATAATATGAACTGATCAGCCAAGGGGCCTGACATGATGTCGCACATGCCCTCCTCCAGACGGGAATACATGACTTGAACAAAACTCTCCACCCCTACCCAATCTGACCACAAACAGGGACGACACAGGAGATCAAATCTGTAAAACCCAAAAATTCAGGAATGTTGGTGGAATTCCAGGCACACATTGGTGGCCCATCTAGATGGCTCGTGACATGAAACACAAAGAAAGACAATGGGGGTAAGTACTATAGAGTTATGTATAGGAAATACAAACAAGTACAGAATCAAACTCTGATTAGATTACTGATAATTATAATTCAAGAAAAAAAAAATTGAAGAAAGACAGATGCTGATGATGTGGTGCGTGCATATTGAGGATGGACCCTCCCGGGTGGAGGCTACTCACCCATCAGATCCTCGCTGCTCCCAGATTTACGCTTGCCTGGGAGGGCAACAAAGGATACAAAAGTTTCACTTTATGGTCTTTGACAATTACTACCCCACCCAACCAACATTGAAAGAAAAATCATGAATCATAAATGAAGAGATCATGAAATTCTCCATAAATGTCTAAGATGAAAAGAACCTGAATGATTTTAAATATAATTTCCTGATCACAATTTTTGGATAAAGAAATAAATTTTCACTGCAATCTTCCATCTAGAAGTTCTTCTATGTTGCCTGGTCTTTATCAATCATTTACTCTGAAGATAAGACTGTCTATCTAAGGTTTACAGAGAAGTTAATAATAACAAAGTGATTTCGGTGCAAGAAATGATTGCATAAAAAAGGGATGTCAATGAAAACTTTTTGAAACACATTTTATTTCATTATTACATTAACTTAAGTTGTTAGGACTCATTATGCTACAACAAAAGGCGCAGGTATTTCCAACTGTGGCTCGGTTAGATTGAGAATGTTTTGGGGGCAAAGATGAGTCAGAACACTCAGAGTGAGAAGGTAAAAATCAAAGGCGATTGACAAGTTTGAATATGAGAGACGCATGTAAAAACAGTGTCACAGTATCATGTTCTCAGGCTCTCACCAATTTTGGGGCAAATGAAGTTATTGGTATCATCTTAAAGCTTGTTCATTTTTCTTGCTTCTGATGAAAAAAATATCCATCTTGAATAGAAGTTAATATAATATTTGCGATTAAAGTTTGTGCAGGTCACCTGGTGTAAGCGGTAAAAAGTGAGAAAATGGCTGCCAAAGTTTGGTGACTTCCAAAGCTTGAGGCACTTTGGAAACTGCAAATTTGCTGCATTTCTTGTGCCTTTGTGATCAATGTTTCTTTTGTAAAAAAAATTTCACACAGAAATGTTTTTTAAAGTGGATATAAAAAGGAGTTAAGCTGAAAAAAAAAAATCTACATAAATTGCCCCGTGTTTATGATTTCCTCATTTTGACAAGAGACTGAAATCCTGATGACACACAGTGACTCTTTTCGTGCTCAGAAAAAAACCCCCAAGACAAACAGCAGAAAACAACAGACAGAGAGTGAAGAAGTAGAGTTTAGAAGTGAGGTTTACCTGTAGTGCCCTCCAACCACCCTCAGAGAAAGAGAGAGAGAGAGAGAGAGAGAGAGAGAGAGAGGGAGGGAGGGAGGGAGGGAGGGAGAGAGAGAGAGAGAGAGAGAGAGAGAGAGAGAGAGAGAGAGAGAGAGAGAGAGAGAGAGAGAGAGAGAGAGAGAGAGAGAGAAGACTAGGACAAATGTCTTAGTTTTTAGTTTTAGTAAGAGTTTTACGGCACTTGCAACACAATAAGGTCATATAAGTGCCGAAGAATAGATGTGTTACAAGAGAGTAACAAACATAAAAAAGGAGGGGAGATAAAGACGATAGTTGTTTGACAGGAAAGAAGAAGCAAACCACACCAGAGCACCCGCCAACCACCCACGACAAATATCTATTCAGTTTGCGATGAATAGAAGCAAATGAAAACGATAACATGAACAACACTCATTTTGAGCTGGGGGAAAAGACAGGCAGGCATTCCCCCCCCCCCCCCCAACCCCTCTCCCAGAGGTATACATCTACAGAAGCAGAGCCAACAATCAGTGAAAGCCACAATGGAATCTCCTACACCTCCCCCTCCCCCACAAAACCCCAAATCCCAAGCACAAATTTATTTATTTATTTATTTTTGGTAAGAGGTTTACAGGACTTGCAAAAAAATAAGGTCATATAAGTGCCGAAGATAAGAGGCGTTACAAGAGAGTAACAAACATAAAACGGAAAGAGGGGAGATAAGAACGATAGATGTTTGATAGGAAAGAAGGAGCAAACCACGCTAGAGCACCCACCAACTACCCACAAATTTAAAAGATAAAAAAAAGGAAGCTGATATAGATACTAAGAGTGTGCATCATGTAAGAAAACATGTTGAGCAAACAAACAATCAAACAAACAAACAAACAAACAAACAAAGCAGCCAACAACCAAACACCTGTGCCTCACTAAAGCATACGCAAGCTCACTGATCATGCAACCGCTTCATCTCGAGTCAGTGATTGGAACAATTTGGGTTGGGGGGGAGGGGGGGCTCATTTTAGTTTTAGTAAGTGTTTTACGGCACCCGCAACACAATAAGGTCATATAAGTGCCGAAGATGAGAGGTGTTACAAGAGAGTAACAAATACAAAAAAGAAGGAGGGGAGATAAGACGATAGATGTTCGATAGGAAAGAAGAAGCAAACCACATCAGAGCACCCGCCCACCACCCACGGAGGCCCTCATGGGAGGGGGCACGCTCATGATGTAGGATTCACTCTGAGCCTAACTGCTGTGAATGTGAGAGTTACTGAAGTAAGTAGTGGACGGGCCAGCCTCTGAGCCAGCATACAAAAAGCGAGGTGCCTGCCAGACAGATGGTGATTTGGCAAATTCCTTCACCTAATCTACGAAATGTCGACACAAGATGAGAACACCCAGAGAAGTCGACTTAACGGTTAACATTCACAATCAACGACTTCCGGAGAAAAAAAATTGCGAAATTGCATAGGAGTAACAAACGCCTCTTGCAACAGTGTAAGATTATTAAAAAAGACCTCTGAATTTTTAACATCCATCTCCGATATGACAACGCCAGATATGGTCAAATTTTGTGTAAAGTATCTTTCTCAAGGACACGACGTCTGACTGAGTCAAGCCTTAAACCCCTAAACCCACAATCTCACGATTGCAAGTCTGTTAGCTTAACCACTACACTACCAGTGCCACTCTGACTCACTAGATAAAGCCAATTAATTTTTCTAACAATTTCTATCAGCATGGATAGAAATCTAAAAGACAGCATTTGTCTATCACCATGGATAGAAATCTTAAAGACAGCATTTAATTTTGTCTATCAGCATGGACAGAAATCTAAAAGACAGCATTTGTCTATCAGTATAGATAAAAAACCAAGAGGCTACGCAAAACTGGAAAGAACAACTTTTCCCCCATTTTCTCAGTTTTGTAGTAAATGGATATGATCACGATTTCCTCCCTGTATTGACACAGCTTACTTGGCACCATATTTGGCTTGTAAGAGTCACTCTCAACCCAGAGGCAAAGTGCTATTTTTATACAGAATGGACAATGAAACTGACTCTCATAAACAGTTCATGAAGGCAAAGAAAAGAGGAAAAAAAGGAAATAAAGAAAATGAACAAATTGACGAAAACTGCAAAGAAAAAGAAAACAAACAGATGTAACTGCTAAAAAAAAAAGAAAAAAGAAAAGAAACCAAACCAAGAAAGATGGCAAAAGAAACAATTGCTGATAAAAGGACAAAGCAAGAAAAAAACAAAAATGAAATAAAATTGTACAAAAACTAAAACTAAACACACAAAATAACTTCTGTGAAAATTAGGCTTCAAAACATTTATGGTGTTTTGAGTACCTGTCACCGCATGATCGCTATGATTCAGTCAGCTGTGGGGGGGGGGGGGGGGGGGGGGGGGGGGGGCTGAGGAGCATGGCTCCACTTCCACACATACAAGCCATTCACTAAGGGACTTAAGTTTTGGTTGTAGTAAAAGTTTAACTGCACTAGCAACACTATAAGGTTGTATAAGTGCCGAAGAGGTGTTACAAGAGAGTAACAAACACAAACAAGGAGGAGAGATAAGGACGATAACTGTTTGATAGGAAAGAAGGAGCAAACCACACAAGAGCACCCGCCAACCACCCACACTGATGTCCTTCCACGCAAAGTAATTATTGTTAAAACTAAACACAGTATGACTTGTTTGAGTGAAGAGAAGCACATACACATTTAACAGTCTTTTTTAACACAGGGGAAAAAGTAAGACAGACGGACGGACAGACTGAAAGACAGACAGACAAATAAAAAACAATAAAGGGAGAGAAAAGAAGGACCTTCCAGTAGCGCACTCCAACCACCCATGCGTGTGCTGATGTACGCAAAAATTAAATGACCAGTGTTGCCGTTTGCTTTTATATCATTAAAAGATCAACAACAAAACAGTTGCAAAGTTATAAAGAAACATTGAAAATAATTTCAAAATTATTTGCCCCCCCCCCCCCCCCTAAAAAAAAAAAAAAGAGAAAGAAAGTGCCAAACTCTTACAAATAAGGACAAATTCTCAACCAAGAAAAAACAATAACATACCATTCTTTTATTCCCTTGTTCAACAGCTTAGTTTGACTGTCTATTTTCTCAAACACCGATGAACCACGCTGGCTGATGGTTTGTTTTAGTAAATGTTTTACTACACTTGCAACCCGATAAGGTAATTATATAAGTGCTAAAGATTAGAGGTGTCACAAAAAGAGTAACAAACACAGAAAAGAAGGAGTGAGAGACGAGGACAACTAACACAGAAAAGAAGGAGTGAGAGACAAGGACGACTGAAGTTTGGTGGCAGGAAAGAATGAGCAAACTTCACAAGCGCATTCGCCAGTCACCCACTTGAGTCATTGTGAAAATTCCAAACAGTAGTAATGATAACACGAAATAGAAGCTGACCATTACACTTGCAGTAGACAAGAGTTGAGAACAAGAACACTTTTTTCATGTTTTTGTGTGGATTATACTGATGGGAGAGTTTTGAGTTTTCGTGCGGATTATACTGATGGGATAGTTTTGAGCTTGAGTAAACAAAAGCACATGGACACAAAAACAGTCATTTATTGCTTGAGGGGGGGAGCAAGACACAGACAGAACAGACAAAATTAACGCAAGGTCAGAAAAGAAGTACAACCTATAAGTGACACCTTCTAACCACCAACCAGAGAAGAAAAAACAATTCCAGATCCAGTCTCAAAAATTATCCTCTTTGAGGATGATTTTATCTCTGATTGAAAAGCCTCGAGGTAAAATCGTAAATGGGGAAAAAAATCACAATGAATATGTATATATAATTATACATTAAATAAGAACCCAAAGCAGTATATCCTTTAAGCAATGCTATACGAAGTGCAACAGCAAATAATTGCAAATCTTTTCCTAACCTTTTAATAGAAATTAAGTAAAAATAGTCTTAGAAGAACTACAAACTTAGAAAGGTTCCAGGATAAAATGTTAAAGTTTTCGCCAGATTACTTTAAAACAAACGAACATTTTAGTCAGCATAACTACTCCAAATGTGCACAAACTATCATTTTAGGTTCACTATTCAAATCAACTCAAATGAGCACTGAATAGCATTCTTAGTTTTATTTTTTTCAACAAAGCCTGTTTAAGTTGGAGACTCAAAAAAACCCCAAACCAACAAAAAAACCTTGAAACAAGAGAGAGCATGAGCTTGGTGATACTGATGAGTCTTTCAAACAGGGAACTTATAATTGATGGAAAGACTTGGGAAGGTAAGGCAACTACCACGAGAATAGCAGACAGAAATTTGGAGTTAGTGCCCGCCCCTCAGGAGAAATTCTTAATTCTAACTACTGAAAAAAAAAATGTACCTAAATACTTGAACAAGAAAAGATGGGACCACTACTAACAAATGCTACAAATTACTATCATTAAATTAAACTAAAAGGCGATTTAAAACGTTTGAAATGATAAAATCTGCAACTTCTGATTTTCTTTTGTCGTCTTCTGAACTTTTGGAAAACCTTTTGAGAACGCAATCAATAGTTACCACAAATAAGAGAAACATGTAACTGAAAGGTCACCCAAAGGAACCCCCCAATTTTTTTTTTTTTTAAAATAATAAAAAGCCAGAAACACGACTTATAAGGCAGTTTGAGTACACTTTTTCTAGTTCTCATCTGGCTGAGCACTGGCAGCTTGCAGGAAGGAAAATTAAAATGAGATGACTTACCCTGCACATGATACGGCACTGAAACGTTAAAATGAGCAAGAAGTTTTCTCTTGTGTTTGTTAAGTTTTTTTCCCTTCGAGATGGTAAAACGAAGGTAACTTTGTTTTTAACGGAGCTCAAAGTAAAGAGAAAAACATTGACAAAATAAAGGTAAGTCATTCCACAATATCTCTGCAAACGAAAACAGAGATATGATAATGATAGGAGAGAGATTAGATAAACCAGTGGCACCCTACAAGAGAGAAAGAATTTGGAACACTCAGAGAGTAAGAATAGTGATAATCAGAAAACAGCAAACAGTTATAAAGCACACACACACACAACATACAATTCCAGATGAGACTACACCTTGACAAAACAGTGGTAAGAAGGGGGGTGAATGAAACAAGATAAAATACCTTCAACACTGGTTAAGTGTCTACACATACACACACACCACGGAGTGATATTTATGAATGTGAGTACATTGAGCTGAGTTCACTACAAGATGTGCAAGTAAGCACGATAATGGTCCCACTTCGGCTGGAACTGATCAGGTCTAGTTTTTAGTATCAGTTAAAGTTTTACGGCACTTGGAACACAATAAGGTCATATAAGTGCCCAAGATTAGAGGGGTTACAAGAGAGTAACATACACAAAAAAGAAGGAAAAGAGATAAAAATGACAGATGTTTGATAGGAAAGAAGGAGCAAACCACACCTGAGCACCCACCAACCACCCACTGATGAGGTCTGTGGTAAAATGGAAAAAAAATCGAAGGAGCTGGCTGCACCAGAGCAAGTACCAGCCATCTGCAACCTGCACCATTAATTTTTTTTTAAAAAGGTCCAACCTGTCTAAAAAAACAAGTAACTGAAAAACATCTCGAACCTTTAAGAAGTGGAATTCTATTCTGACCAAACTATTGCCGCCTCTGATGTCTCAGAGCTCATAAATAGTCATGTAATGTCCAGGAGTTTCAAAACATCAAAAAGAAAATCCAGGTACATTAACATTTTCTTGGAAGTTTTAACATATTCTTATTTCTCACTGTGAGTAAGTTTGAGCATTGAATAAGACAGCAAACTTTTCTTCTATTCTGCCCCACAAAAGGTTTTAAAACAAGGGTTTAAATACATTTCAGAGCTAAAAAAAAGGTTCTCAAGCAGGAAACTTCAACCAATGATTTTTCTCTATGGGCACACTTGATCACATATCCAAGGGATTTCCCAATAACATAATGAAAAAAAAAATATTTTTAAATCATTTGTTGAAAGTGCTCAAGAGAAGACATAGGAAACAATCATCATTTCCATGAACGCAACGCCCCTTGTAAGATTAAAGCAAAAATAAACTTAAACAGTCTTTTTCTTTTTGACTAGCTAATTTTAGACAGTAACTTTCTTAGCTAGAGTTGATACGCCAGTCATACTGGTTATATCATGTATGTCAAGTATGGGGAATACCTTCCCCCCCCCACACACACACAAAATTCAACTTTCCACGAGATGAGCGGTACCAGCTATATTCAGCAACTTCAATCACCCGCCATGACAAGGTGCTGTACATACCGGTGCATGTGCTTAGCCAATCGAAGAATATAGAGCATGACCTTGTCAAGAGAAAGGTGCACTTTGCTCTGAGCGTGAATTTTATGATATTGAGCGTGAGCTGTTATATGTGCGTTAGAAGCAAGGGGGCGGGTCTGTTCCTTAGCCAAGCACTCCACATAAACAGGAACTTAACGGTTAACTTTGTCGCAATATGGAATCAAAATTTGAGTAAAGCTGCCAGCTTTCAGCTGTTGCTACATCAAACAACACACTGTGAGGCTGAAAAAAGGCTGACAAGAAAACCAAAGCCTAATGGGTTACTCAAGATATAACTCTTGCCTGATCATCAAGACAAAGACAAGCTTTTCGAAGTACTGCCTACTTTCAGAAATTATGAATGTCTCGTGTAATATATTCAGTCGGCAAGTTTTCAAATCTCTTCATTTCTATTAACTTTCTTCCACTGAGGGTTTTCTTACTCAGAAAAGCACTGATTCATAGGCTGATAGCATACGCATTCAGAGACGACTTCTTTCAATAGCTAGAAAATAAAATGATATTTCATAGTCTTGTTGCCGCCTCTGATTTCATTCCTATTTTGTGAGCGTTAATGAGTTTTTATTGCATTCTACATTTTGTAGTGCATGACTCATTTTTCATAGAAAATTTTAAATACATATACATATATACTTAATACTAAGATTTACATACTCACATGTCCATTAATCTTTAAGATGTGATATTTTTATTAATGTAATGCGCATTGAACATTTTTTAGAAAATGGAAATCAGCAAAATGCTATTTATTATTATAAAATCATTATCATTATTTATTATTACAATTATTTTACGCAACATTAGCCCACGAGTATGAAGTACTTTAGAAGACACTGCGAAACTGCTGCAAATACTTGGCTACAGAGCAGAACCCGGGCGTGTTAAAAGCAAGGGAAGGTTACAAATGTGCAGGGATAGGGGAGAGAATTTGTGAAACCAGTCACTCTGAGGTCTGTAAGGCTAGGACAGTGACCCACTTACTCTTGTAGGTGTCTTGATGCAAAACAAATCGGGACCGGGAAAAAAAAGGAAAAAAAAAAGGGGGGGGGGGAGAAAGAAAACAACCCAGGATAAAACATGGCAAAATAAAAACATATGGCAACATGGTGAGGGGATACATTCATATCAGCAATGAAAAAAAGCATAGGGAAGTAAGGACAATAAAACTTTCAAGAAAGGAAATTGAACAAACCAAAGGTGTGACGACAAACATCACCTTGACCATCAACTCACTCAATCCCGTGGCTGTCCTAATTTGGTCTAAAACTCAGGTGCGTTCTAAGCAAAGCTGCCATGATATCTCTTGAATTCTGAGTGGAGTTTCTCCATCTAATCCACTTTTTACTTGAAGCATCCGGCAACAATTTTTTTGTACCACTAAAGGTTTGTTCTTCAATTTCTGCTTTAAATATCAACATCTTCCAATATATCAAAGACACACATATTGCCTACAAGTGCATTATTAGGATTATAAAAGCAGGTAGCAAAGTTGTCGCCTCAGAACTATTTAGTCCAAAGTGCACTTAACTATGGAGTGTACTTTCAACAAAATAGTTCAGAGGGGATGAAGTGTTAAAGTCAAAGTACACAAAATGTCTGGTCCATTCATGCACTCTCAGACATGTGAATGTTAAGCATTGAGTCGAGTTGAAATGTAACTGTACACCAGGGCCGAGTCATCTACAGCATAAGAAGTCCAAACTTATTTTTGTCGATAATCTTTTGATTTTGACAGGAATGCATTTCATTGACCAGTTTGAATTATAGACTGCGACTGATCGTGTAGACCCTCCCTGTCGGACTCATGTACAATCCACTGAAGGCTGGACAAATGACAGGTTAATCACATGAAAAGCAACAGTCAACAATGCAGGCAGGATGACAGTATTCCCTCGAATATCACGGGGGTAACATTCCAGAACCTCCCGTCAAAAGTAGAGATGATACTTCAGTTACATATCACATATCTCACACCATTATAAACCCTCCCCACAGTCTTTTTAACCTATCCCTCAAACACTTTCTACACTTTAGAGTTGGAGAAACTAATATACCGTAAAATGAAAACTTTTGCTTTACTGATCAGCCTGCAATGACAATAATGCAATGACAACAAGCCAATAATGCCATAATAGAGCTTCAATGGTTTTTTTTTTCTATTTTCGGCAAATAAAAAAACGGGACGTACCAAGTTTGTGAAATGTGAGTCGTGATATGGTGAGGAAATACTGTAATTACCTATGGGATAAAATGCCACATTGTTGGGCTGAAGCAGCAGAAACTGAGCATAACAGTGAGACATCAAACACATCTCACTGGGAATGGATTACTACAAAAGCAACAGCTAGAAGAAGTAAACAGAGCCACATCAGATTGCCCACGAACCACAACCACCCACAAGACAGCTTTTTTGTTCAAGGAAAGAAAATCATATTGGCCTAATAATGATCATTTAATGCTGGGAAAAAATATGTCTGGCAGAAAAAAAGGAACAGAGGAAAAGAAAAGAGGCAAGACCTACCAGTGCCACCCTCTGAACACCTACCCACAAGAAGAGAAAGCTAAAAGTAGGACAACGTAAATCAAATCCCCTCTTTCGATTTGAACTATAAACTCACAGCAACCACCCGCACTCCACTTTCAAAACAAGAGACTGCAAAATGAGACGTTGTAAAGGAACTCTTCAGACGTGTCGACAGGAAGGGCAAAAGTCTGAACAGTCAAGAGAAGACATCATCCATACAGCAACTGACTCTGTCACTGACAAACTGATCATAAAATACATATCACCCCCCCCCCCCCCCCCTTAAAAAGATAAAAAAACAACAAAAACCCAATTCACACAGATTTAGAACTTCGCTGATCAGTAAACGCCCCCTTCCAAAGCTTATTACTGTGAATCTAGCTAAACCCAAAAGGAAACAACAGAAACTACTGACAGTAAGCGGAGTGGAAGAAACAGTCCTGGGTGTGGTGAAAAGAGGAGGCTGGGGAAGAGGAGGGAAAGGGAGAGAGAGGGAGAGGAAAAGGGAAAGGGGGGGGGGGGAGAAGTATGGGGGGTGTGTGAGGTACAGGTATGGGTGTGTGCGAGGACATACCCGTGTCTGTCTGCAGGGAAGGGGGGGGGGGAGGAGGAAGAAGTATGGGGGTTGTGTGAGGTACAGGTATAGGTGTGTGTGACGACATACCCGTGTCTGTCTGCATGGAAGGGGGGGGGACAAGAAGTACAGGTATGGGTGTGTGTGTGCGTGTGTGTGACGACATACCCGTGTCTGTCTGTAGGATGGTTTTCTCCGACAGCGTCAGTTTTCCCACCTGGCTGTTGCTGCTGGTGCGAATGCTGAAGACAGAGGTTTGGTTTCGGTCAGAGGTTTGGTTTTGGTTACTTGCTTCAACAATGGGTCAAATAAGGGCCGAGGACAGTCCAGCCTTGTGCCCACTGGTAAGCAGGACGGACACTGTTGTAGCTGATGGGGGACGGAGAAATCTGTCCTCCAATTATATTTAGTTGATGGATTACTGTCCTCTTAAAATTTAAGAAAAAAAAAAGTGCTGAGTTTTGGTTTTGGTAAGCGTTTTATGGCACTTGTTACACAAATCGGTCATTTAAGTTCTGAAGATTTCAAGAACTTAAAAAAGTACAATGAATCTATATCTTTTCAATCTCTATCAAATAGCTGTTCAGAACATGAATTGTCCTTCGGGACAAAGGCTTCTCTTAACTGCTCCTTGCTGCCAGAGACCTGGCAATGCTTGCTCTCACATAGGTCAGCCCTGTTTGGCTTGTGAGAGAGACATGCCGGTCGTAGTAAAACTAAAATTTGATGTCGGGTACAGGCTTCAAAATTTCTTCTCCCAAGCCTCTATTGGCCTGCAGGCTGCGAGTTTCAGACCCACTGCTCTAAACCATCAAAAAAGCCATTAGGGAAGGCTGCCATTAACTGACAAAACACCTTTTTTCATATTGGCGCTAAAAAATTTTATTTGCTAAATCGCAAGCTTGATCAGATACCCTAATTGTGTGAAAAAATCAAATTGAAACTGACTAGTTTTTGAATAAATTAGAATTCAAATTTTGGAATGACTCTACTTTCAAATGAATACGCTGACAAAAAACCCTCTTTTTCTCGAAACTGCTCTGAAGAAAAAAAGGCTTTTGTCAGCTTACGGCAGAGGGGGAATGAGCAAAAAGTGACATGACAATGCACACCTGGAGTAGAGGACGGCGAAGAGCCAGATGGCCAGGGCCAGGATACTCTGCCAGTCAAAAACGCCGTCGCTAGTCCCAGTGCCGTTTGCGTCTCCACCCACAGTTGCCGCGGTGGTGATGTTGTGGGTGGGCGGGTCAATGATGTCCTTCAGGTTCGGGTTGCACTTGGTGTCTGTGGAAAACAAGGCAAAAAGAAGTGTATGAGTTGAACGCTCCCGTCAAGACTAACTGTTATTTAACACTTACATTACCATCTGCAACTTCAGTCGCCAGGCCGTAGTATACGATCACTACCGTTGACAACTAGTTGCAGAGTCGACCAGGCACACTAAATATAATAAAACAACAAACGGTCCCACTACACTGAAGTAAATACCAAAGGAAGTCACTCTACATGATAGCTGAAAGGTTGATGAACCTCTGTGAATTTTTAAAGCATGTTTCTTGAGCTGTGAAGGTTTTAAAAAAAACATTTTTTTAATTCTACCATGGATTCAGCCTTCTAAACTGATGTGGTGCTTGAATGTTTTTCACTATATGAGCCTTCGGTACTCTAAGTGTTAAGAGATGGAACCTCCGATTCTAAGGTCTGTCTCCGATAGGACAGGAGAGCAAGACAGAGTTGAAAGGTACTTTCAGTACCAAGACAGCAGGTCCCTGTTTCACGCATGATTTAAGCAGCCAATAAGCCAGCTTTGACAACAAGGGTTGTAAAAACTTTGGATTTGAAATCTTGAATGCCACAGGCATATGCTGAAAATACCAACATAACAGTTAAGCTCAAAAAGAAGTCAAAGGTCCAACACAATGCAGAGGCTCAACCAAGTGAGGTTTTGTTTAGTTTTAATAGTAGTTTTACAGCACTTGCAATACAAAAAGGCCATGAAAGTGCCATATTAGCTGGGTTACTAGAAAGTAACATACATAGCAGAAGAGAAAAGGAGGATAGATGTTTGATAGGATTGAAGGAGCAAACAACAGAACAGAACCTGCCACCCACCCACTGAATGAGATTTCTAGGAGTAAACTTTCTTAACTCCCCACTGACACAATTTGGATCATTCATGAGGCCAGCTTCAACCTTGCTTTTCAGGGCTAAATCGGGCAGCGAGGGATAAACCATCCCAGCAGTAAGACCGAGATACTCAATAAAGATTCTCACCATACAGGAATCGAACTCAGGTCTTCACCTAACTCTTACATTGCAAAGCTAGCTATAAAAAAAAAATTAACAAAAATAAGAGCCAAATATAAACAGCCCAACCACCAATATAAAATAACAATCTCAGAAAGACTGGTCAAAACATACCAAAATGTGGCTCCAAAAGTGTTTCACAGCACGCTTTAAATTTTGCTATAAAACTGTCCTGTTGCCTACTATTTTAAGCCAACTTCAGTCTAAAATGCCAATTAGTTGTACCTTCCGAACAAATTGGCGGGTGCCCAAAAAAGAAAAAAGTCAAAAACTCATTTCAAAAAGAAATTATTCATGCAAATTTTTTTGAAAGAGACAGTCACACTCCCCTGCCCATTCAGCTGTGTTACCTGGGTTGTTGGACATGGCTGACCAGGTGAGGTAGATAACGTATGCCGAGATGATGGAGGACTGCAACAGGCCCGAGCGAGGCTGGTCTGAGAAAAAAAAAGGGAGACAATGAGAGAAAATGGATAAATCATTCATAAATCTGTCAATGACTACATGACATGAATATTTAACTATACGTAAAGAGAAGCACATGACACACTGTCTGTCTTTTAGGGTTGGGAGAAAGAAAGATGGACAAACACAACGATAAAAAGTCTAAAAATTACCTGAAACACTTCAGTATGATACACATCAACATCTATTCAACTCCCCCCACCCTCTTTCTGTTGCCACTTTGAGTTTATCAACACTATATGAGCATCAATACACTATTTGGAAGGCATAGGTGGGGGGGGGGGGGTAAAGAGACGTTTAATTCTATATTTTTTCTTATGGACACGAATGACTAGCATGTGGTCCATTGGCAGCAAGGATGGAGGTGGGAGGTGGGGGTGAGGATGTGTGTGTGTGTGTGTGTGGGGGGGGGGGGGGGGAAGATATTTCTTTTTTTCTTTCTTCCCATGCAAAGCTACAAAACACAAATGATTAACATGTGGGCTGTTGTCGGTAGGAGTGGAGGTGGAGGTGGGAATGATGTGAGGTGGATGGAGGGTAAGGGGAAGGAGAATAGATGTATCTGTTTGAAACTTTTTTTTTACAAAAGAAAAATGGCATGTGAGGACTTAAAATATCGAGCATATTAGCCCGGCTGAGAATACTCACGTTCCTGAATCCTGGGCAAGATGGCCACAACACTCATGCCGACGATGAGGATCAGGTTGAAGGAGACGAAGAACTTGTGGAGGGCGCAGTCTCCCTGTGAAAGTATTTTTTTTTTCTTGGTAAGGTTTTACAGCGCTCGCAACTGCATAAGGTCATATGAGCGCCAAGGGGTGGACGTCAACAGAGAAGTTCAAACGGGGAATCAGGCTTACTCTGTTCACCTCTCTTGCCTCAACAGCACAAAGTTTGCTTCCATTATCAAGGCACCCCGGAAATAGCAGTTCACAAGAGAGTGACAACAAACAAAAGAAGTAGAAGAAAAATGACAATAGTAAGAATGAGGAAAGAAAAAGAAGTAGTTCCCCAATGTTGTTCCGGCACAGCATGAGCATGGCATTGATAAATCAGCCCATTTACAATTCTACTGCGCATAAGAACATGTTAATATCCCACCCCTTTACGAATGGCCTAAAGACACTTCAGTCAGCAGCACTGCCCTGGGCAAGTTTTGGGTTTCAGAGTAAAGAGAAGCATATCAGCAAAATCTGTGTCACAATGTGGTGGACTCAGGTGCTCGACAATTCTGGGGTACATATAGTTATTGGCATCATCTTAAAGCCTGTCCATTTGCCTTGCTTTTGGTGAAAAAAATATAAATTTATCTTTAATACAGGTCAAGATATTGACGATTAAAGGAGGTGGGAGCCGCCTGGTTTCAGAGGTATAATTAACAAGGAAATAGCAGCCAAAGTCGATTTACTTCCTTAGCTGGAGAATCCCTGGAAACTGAAAACTTCCAACTGAAAACTGCTGAGCCAAAAAACAAAAATTCTATAGAAATTCCCAAAAGGGTGTGCAGAAAAACGCCACTTTCTTGACTTTCATTATTTTGATGAGCGCCTGATTTCACCATGCTGCCTTACATATCTCGGCCGTTTAGAGCAGAGGATGAGTAAGATAGAGAGACTGACTGAAATAGCAGAGGGAAAGACAAAAGTGAGACGACAGACCAAAGCCTCCCTCTCTCTCTTTCTATTCCTGTTTAGTGCACGGAATGGGTAAGACAGAGAGACAGACCGAAATAACAGAAGGGAAGAAAAGAAGCGAGACAACAGACCAAAGCATCTCTCTCTCTCCCTCTCCCCATTTACTGCAGGGGTTGAGTAAGACAGAGAGACAGACCGAAATACCAGAAGGAAAAAAAAGAAGTGAGACGACAGACCAAAGCCTCTCTCTCTCCCTATCTCCCTCCCCTGTACGAACAGGTTCACTGGGATTAAAAAAGACTGAGGGAACTTCACTATAAATAACTACTTTCACGAATACTTTGACTCACACTGGCGTAGTAGACGTAGAACAGGACGATTGCCACGATGCTGATCAGGTAAAAGAGGATCGTGAAGAAAAATAAGCCTGAGGAAAAACAAGATAAGCTTTGACAAAATAATAATAATAATAAATAGTATTCATTTAGCCTGTAAAATTTGGATGCCTCGCATCTTACAAAAGTTTATAGTTGGAAACAAAAGAGGGACGGAAAACAAGTATGACTGATCAGTGCCACACCCTGACAACCACCATGCCCATCAACCACCAGCTGGAAACAAGGCATACACACAAAATCTTAGTACATAAAAACAAAATGAAAAAAAAAATTTAGGTGTTTTTCATGTTCCCAGATAGGGGAAATACTTTATACAGAGATAAAACATAGCTGATAAAAACCTGTAAATTCTGTGCCATATCGACAGGCCGAAGGGCTAGAACTCAGAGGGCCGCAGGATCGGAAAAGTAAAGTATGTTCCCATTAATACAAGTTACGTCAGTCAGGAGATGGGCTTTGACCCTTCCTGTCAGGGCCAACTCGGACACACAGAGAGGGATACAACATCCAAGAAGAAAGACGGAGATGCTCGATAAAATTTTTCCTTGAACAGGAATGGGGCTTGGGTGTTTGAAGCGTGACTGCAAAGTGCTTCACCGTTACACCACAGGCGCCGGTACTGACAAACAAACAAACAAACAACACCACAAACAAGAGAACAGTAAAGTCCAGCGACTGACCGATGTAGTAGCATTTGGCCTCCGTCTCTTCATAGAGTTCCACCCAGGACTCAGCCCAGCCGTGAGCAAAGTCCACTAGCAGGATGAGCTGGATCAGGATGAAGAGGAACGCTCCTATCATTCCCACCACCATCCACACTGCCAGTAGGAAAAACAAATAAATAAATGAATCAATAAACACATTTCATATATATCATCTTCTTCTTCTTCTTCTTCTATCCCGTTGTTGGGGCAACCGTTGGGGCACCACTGCATTGGAAAACCAGCTCTCGTCATCTATTTTTGTCCTCTGCTCTCCTCAGATTGTCACCCATATATATAGTGCATTTCTATTCATTCTTTATCTCCGTGGGGGGTAAACCCACTATGCCGGGGCCCTATTTTGGTACGAAATAAAAAATTGACACATATGTCACTAAACAGATCATTAAATCTTTTTAAGTGAACTTATTTCGATAGTTCTTCATCTGATGAATGATCTTCAGGTCAAAAAGACTTGTTTTTGGCTATAGCCGAAAAGTAATTTGATGTTGAAGTCATCGTAAAGGAATGTGCTCGCTGGGAGCGGCTTGCCGGAGATAACGAGTTAAGAGTGTGCTCGATGCACTTGACAATAATACAAAAAGGGAGGACAAAACAAATAAAGACTACAATGTCAACAATATCTACACTGAAAAGAAGTATTAAAAATTTCCAAAATAATAAATATGTCACATGTAACTCACCTTCCCCAAATGTTCCACCCGGTATAAAAAATGCTCCGATGCAGATACCAATCATGATGAGAACTTTGAAGAACCAGAACCTAAGGGTAAAGAAAAATGAAAAGTAGGAGCACCACCACACAAAACCAAATCGTGACAGGCAACTTTTAGAAATCCACACACCAGTACATTAAAACAAATGATGCATTTGTTCCCATAAAGAAAAGCACACAACAATGATCACTTAATGCTTGGGAAAAAGTAAGACTGCTAAAAATAAAAGAGGGATAGATAGAACCTATCAGCAGCGCCTTCCAGCCACCCATGATGCATGCACATTTGTGTCTACAGCAGGGTGTCTCAAACTCAAACTACAAAGGGGTTGTTAGAGGTGGTTTCAATGAGCCTCAGCAGCATCAGCCAGGCATCGTGGTGAAATCAGGTGCTCGTCAAAATAATGAAATCAAAGAAACTGGTATTCTTCTGTCCGTTTGGCAATTTTATCGAATTTTCGTTTTTTGACTCAACATCTTAAAGGTCCATTTAAAAACACATTACTAAATGGATTTTGCTGAAAAATGTTGATTTAAGGCACAAAAATGTAAATTTGCAATTCCTAAAGACTCACAAGCTTTGGAAGTCGTCAAACTTTGGCAGCCATTTTCTCGCTAATTTTACCTCTGAAACCATGCGACCCTCATCTCTTTAAATTGCAAATATCTCGACTTCTATTCATGATATATATGAGTATTTTTTTCACCTAAAGCAAGACAAATGAGCAAACTTTAAAATGACACCATTAACACCATATGCCCAAAAATTGATGAGCGCCCGAGCCCACCATGTCGTTTTTCTCATTCTTTAATAACAGCAAATTAGAAAATAAACATTTCCTCAAAACAGTCTTCTCAGCTAAAATGTGAGAAAAACGTGAAGGCTGCACTGACACTGAAATTTGATGTAAGATTTGGGGTAGCAAAAAGTCATCCTGCGGACAATAATTGGCTGGTCTAAGTCTAAGTCTCACTTTTACATTTGTTAAATAAACAGATAATACTTATTAAGGACAGAAATTGGCAGTTTTGACTTTTTTACACTAATAAACAACTCAGACAACTGTAAAATAGTGAAGACAAGTCAGCCAACAAAATTTTCTGAGACACTGTTTTTGCTAACTCACCCGTTCTGTATCTTTGACCTCGGGTCCTTCGAGGAGTTGACCTTGATCATGAGCACGCAGAAGAGCAGGAAGAACATGGCCATGGCGAAGCAAACACGATACACAGCCAGGAAACCCACAGCGTGGTCGCACTGCTCTTTTTGGAAAACGCTGACATCCATCCCCGGCGGAGCTTTACCGTCAAAGATGCCACTGCATAGGCCTGGGATCTGAAGAGTATAGTACAGGGCATGATTGAATGATAGTAATGTTGTACACCTCAAATAACAATCAGATTATTCTGGAGGGGGCCTACCTGTAAGGGCCAATGTGGGCTATGCGGGACACCACGTCCTGGCAGCAGACAGGCGGACATGATAGAATAAATTTGCCATGTTTAAGTTGCTTTTTAAAAAAAAGTTTTAGTATGAGTTTTACTAAATTACTTACAGTACTTGCAACACAATAAGGTCAAATAAGGCTTAAATGCTACACCAGATGTCAGTTGGTGTCTAGTTAATATTGTTAGGTGTTAGTTTTAGAAAGTGTTGTACAGCATAAGTGCTGAAATTTAAAGGTGTTACAAGAGAGTAACAAACACAAAAAAGAAGGAGGAGAGATAAGGATGATAGATGATTGATATGAAAGAAAGAGCAAATCACACCGGAGCACCTGTCAACCACCTGCTATTTTCTCTGTGAGAACTTATCTCATGCTTTTTGTGTGCACAGGAAAATATCCTAACAAATTATCCACAACAGAACTACAACAGGGCATATAAAAAACTATAAGGTAATAGCTTGGAAGATTATTCCCCTAACTGGTTAGGGGAAGTATGTACAAGCTATTTCAGTCAAAGAGAAACACACAACCACCACAAAAGTCATTTAGAAATGAAAGAAAGTGTGAAAGAAACAAAAAACAAAAATAAAACAACTGCAAAAAAAACCCCCAAAAAACCCAATAAAAACCTCCCCCTCCCCCAAAAATAACATTTTTTACATGATAAAAAATTGAACCCTTTTTTTCGTACATGATTTTTAAAAATGAAAACTTTCTTTAAATCATTAAAAAAAACCCAACTAAATAAACACTGACAAAAGAGAACACTTACATCGTCCAGCTTGCTCCGGATGCCAGGGATCAGCATGATGACGGCCACGATGGAGCCAAACAGAAGCATCAGCGAGTAGCCGATCCTGGAGGCCGTCGAGTTCTTGCAGGACGGGCATGCTGCACAGCACAGGCTGCACGCAGCGCTGCCGCAGCAACAGGCAGCCTGTGAGGACGTGACATTTTGTTTGTTTTAGTTTTAGTAAACGAGTTTTATGGCACTTGCTACACAATAAGGGTCATATAAGTGTCAAAGAATAGAGGTGTTACATGTTTCTTTTAGTAAGGGTTTTACAGCGCTCGCAACTGCATAAGGTCATATGAGCGCCAGAAGATTAGAGGTCTTACAAGAGAGTAACAAACATAAAAAAGAAGGAGGAGAGATTAGGACGATAAATGTTTGATAGGAAAGAAGAAGCAAACCACACCAGAGCACCCGCCAACCATCCATAGAGGTGTTACAAGAGAGGAACAAACACAAGAAAGGAGGAGAGATCCGGATGATAGATGTTTGGTAGGAAAGAAGGAGCAAACCACACCAGAGTACCCCCAAAACCATCCACATTCGTTTTTTTAAAATGTACACTAGATGACTGTCGTGCACTGATAATATTACACCATGTACGTAAGTGACAGAGCTGAGACAAAAACTGTAAAATCGTTAAAAACAAAAACAAAACAATAACAAACACAGGTGTTTTTACACCTCAATCAATACAATTTACATCATTCAGGAGGCAGGTTTCGACCCAACATGTAAAGACCAACTCAGGTAAAGAGGGATACACAACATCCCAGTAGAAAGATCGAGATACTCTATCATATTATAATAAAAATCTCTCCCCCAGCAGGAATCAAACTTGGGTTCCTTGTATGCTCCTGCAAAACATCTTACCGCTACACCTCAGATGCCAGGTGCGAAACTGCCTGGAAGCAGGTTAGGGTAAAAGTAAAGATATACCAGATATAGAAGAAGCAGACCACTGAGCCCTAACTGAAATATCTGTCGCTTTTGTGATACAAATCTTTACAAAAGCAAAGTAACAATAGAAAGAGAGGCATGTGTGTAACAGCGCTTTTAACAGCGAGTCATGGTGAGGAGGCACAGGACAGACTGCCCAGAGCCTCCTATACAAGGCAACACATTCTTATATCAACATAATACTAGAAGGCCAGCATCTCATGTTTAATTTAATCTGGGAGTCAAAGTGAGCAAGTAAGTTCTCAGTTAAAAATAAATAAATTTAGAATTATTACTTTAAATCTAGAGTGAAACAGTGACAGCTGTGTGCTGGAAGTTAAACGAGACTCATAATACAAATCATTATTTAAAATAAGTTAAAAAACTCCTAATTCATCACATGATATGACTTTAAGCTATCATGACCTTTTCACATAAAATTAAATTATGGAATTCTGAAGGCAACTGAGAGGGATACAACTTCCCTGCAGAAAGACTGAGATACTGGGTAAAATTTTTTCCCGCTCAGGAATCGAACTTAAGCAAAGTGCCTGACCACGACACCATATACGCCAGTCATGGCAATGTAAACACACGATTTACAGAATATGACATATAGGAATTAACAGGGTTTTAAATCCCACTACATTAAAGTGAGATCAGTCTGAAATACGACAATATTCAATCTGAATGCAACAGTCAAAAAGTAAAACCAAACACGAGAATGGACAATATGAAAGCACAAAGCGCCAACCTGCTTTTCATTAGGTCCACAATAAAAAATCTAGTCCCTTTTGATTCAATTTCACCTAAAACCTACAGAGACAGCAGCCATCACTATTTTGAGTACATGTACTACTTTTATAGAAACGTGCTTCAGAAGAAGTCAAGGGCTCAACTAATTGCATTTTTTGTTGTTGCAAGTTCGAATTATTGATGGTTTAATTATTTTTGAATGATTTTTTTCCCCGTTTTGTTTGTTCGTGTTTTTTTTTCCGTTTTGTTTGCTTTTGTTCGGTTTTTGTTTTTCTGTTGTCTTTTTTTTTTTTGGGGGGGGGGGAGGTGCCCCCCCTCATTAGCTCATATTGTTGGCCCAGGAGTATGTATTCAGTATTGTGAGCCAATTGCCAGTGGTAAAGCACACTGGATCCCCTGCTGGTTTCATGAATTTAATTTTGGTTGATCCATGGAACATTCATCTTATAAAATAAAATGCACTTTAAAGAGGTTCTTCTAGAACAAACTGCCTTACTTGTGACAGATGCTTAAAAATATGATAGTTTCCAAGCAGCACTGATTTCTGTGCAAAAACTTTAAGCCTGACTCAATGATGTACTACAAGCTGAACACTGACAATGACACAGCTGACAAAAATTCCAATATGCTGCATGGAAAATGTGGCACACAACATATATTTTTACTCCTTATGAAAGCAACTTACAGCAGCAACTTTGCAGGTTCTTAAATGTGTTAAAGACAGTGCGAATATATGGTCTGCTTATGATCCATGTATTTGCGTTGATGAGAGTGCTCTGTGTGTGTTCACTGTCCTAAACTAAGCAGAGGATGTATTATTAAAGATAAAGAGCACATTCTTTTGCTTGTGGAAGAAAATGTTTTTGTCTCCCTCTGATTCAGAAAATGCAGGGCAGCCTTCAAAAAATTATATATTCTATTTGCCTAATTTTCTTCATCAGTTACTGTTTGGCAAAAGACTTGCTCATCAAAGCCATATATGATGTCTGCCTACTTTGATTAATTTGGCGGATTCAGCATCAAGTCAAGTTGATGTGTGGCTGCCTCAAGCAGGCTGTGATGCTTCAGTGTGATTTTTTTTTCCGATTTTGGATCACCATTGTCTGCCCTTCAACAAGAACTTGGGGCTTTGGCCTTTGCATGCTGGGCGAGCAAGGGAGTGAACTGATGCATGCCACAATTGCTACTAAAGAGGGAAGGAGAACAGTTGACACCAAACACAATATAAGCAGGTAACTGAAGGCTGTCATGGACATACATAATGTCCCGACAATGTATCTGAATCGAAGGCTGAGCTCCTTGACCCTGAGCAAAAAGTAAAAAAGAAAAAAAAAAGACTAGCACACAACACTATGCACAGATAAAATCTTACTTCTTGTATCATTTCACTGCACATTTATTATTAGACAAATGTACCTCTACATATATATATATA